GACCCGAGCCAGCTGGGCTGGTCCCTTGGTGCTCCCACCTGTCTCCCTCCTGCCTGAATGTGAAGCATCCCTCCCACAGTGTCAGCATCTTCCTTGCATTTGCCGGCTTCCTTCACTTGCACGGTCTCAGCCACATCATAATCTTCTTTCTCCCCCATCAGAGCACCTGGCCAAGAGTGTATGTTACACAGTGCTTTGAGAAGAGTAAGCTGTGCCAAAGAAATTGCAAGTCATTTAGTAGATGTATTTCCTTTCAGAGGCCCCAAGGGCAAAGGTAGGACGGTGTGCAACAGAGGGGCCCAGAGGGTGATAGGCTCAAAACAAGGTGCCAGGAGGTGAGTGTATGGGTGTGAGCACCCGCTGGGTGTGGGGGGTGTTGGTCAACCCCCAGCCCACACACAGGGAAATGGCCATCCAGAGACCATCTGCTCTTGAAGGATTTATTGGCCTGGAGACAAGGAGGAACGGAGCAGCAGCTGGGATGAAGTGTGGGCTGTGGTGTGTGCAGCAAAGGCACCTGTGTCCCCAGCCACACCCACCCGCGTGTCCTGAGCTCCCCCAGTCCTGGCTGCTGGGGACACGGGGTGGGGTGAGCCATCACCAAAGGGAGACCCAGACGCCATGGCACCTGCCATTCGCTTCCCTCTTGCCCACCAGATTTGTGCAAAGAGGGACAGAGAACGGGAAGAGACAGATGTCTCCCTTGGGAAAGGCAGCTGTCTTTCTGGATGTGGACTCTGTGGGGAGCAGGGAGGGGCCCGAGGGCCTATAGCAAGAGGGACTGCTTTCTGAGAGGGCCTGGGAGAAGGAACTTGCTATGGGGAAGGGGAGGGGGTGAACCTCTCCACAGCAGAGACATAAGATGGCCAAGGAGGACTGTGCCAGGTCACCTTCATGGGGCCAAAGCTTTTTTTTTAAGAGTTTACGTATTTATTTGAGATGTTGAGAGGTAGAGTTACAGACAGTGAGAGAGAGAGAGAGTCAGGTCTTCCATCTGCTGGTTTACTCACCAAATGGCCGCAATGGTTGGAGCTGGCCCGATCCAAAGCCATGAGCTCTTCCTGGTCAGGACCCTGGGCCATCTTCCACTGCTTTCCCAGGCCTTAGCAGAGAGCTGGATTGGAAGAGGAGCAGCCGGGACTAGAACTGGCACCCATGTGGGGTGCTGGTGCTGCAGGAGGAGGATTAACCTACTGTGCCACAGCACCAGCCGCAGAAGCTTTGAGTATTTTGGCTCTCTCTGTCTCACCTTCTCATGCCTGAGCTGGAAAGCAACACCTGCACAGGGCTGGGGGAAAGCAAGAGGAGCAAGAGCACAAGAAAAGCAGCCCGGGGCAGGCTAGGAGAGTGCAGTGACCCCTAACATCAGTCAAATGGCAGCCACCTGAGTGCTTTCACAGGTGTGCTGCTGTTTTACTGTCACAGTCGAGTCAGGCAGCCAGGTCGGGGATTCTTGTCATCGAATCCTAATGTACAATTCCCTCAGCCAACACCATCGCAGAGCTGGGGACTGAAACAAGGTGTGCACAGACACCTTAGCCGCCAAGGGCCCTGGATCTCGGGGGTGGCACGCAAAGGGCTGAGGAAGGAAGCAGCCGCTAGCTGAGGTGGCCTCAGGTTAACCCAGAATGCACCAGGGCCACTTGTCATGGAAGCCCACGGGTGTGGCTGGAGCGAGGATGGCAGTGGCACTGCATCTTGGAGGCACGGCCTGCCAGGCCGCTCAGCTGACTCCAAGGCTTGATCAGGAGGGAGACAGGAACGCAGCTTAAGCAGAAGGAAGGAGAGAAAGCTTCGCTGATGAGAGAGTAGGTCTCAAGAATCCTTAAACAGAAGCCCTGTCTTGGATACCTGGCCTTGCTCTGGTTGAGTGCAGACACACACGATCAGTGTTTGCAGCTGAGGCTTGGCCTTGCATAAGCCCCCGTTCCCTCGGGCCCAATGGGCCATAATTGCTGCCGCCTCCAGCCCAGGGATAACAAAGAAGAGGTACAAGCAAAATTAAGGTGTGTCCAGTCTTTCCCCAGGTGGCTCCTGCCTGGCTGCCATCCCAGGGCACGGGTTGGGGGGTGGGGTACACTGGCCCAGCCTCTCCCTGTCACTGTGACACCATAAGGCATTACCTGGTCAAAGTATTTCTTTCCTTGCTCATTTCTCATATTTTCCTCATTAACCTTTAAGAAACAAGTAGGCCTGGCTCAGAGGAATAAATGATCCTTGATCCCGCGTCAAAGTTTTCTCAGCTTTTCCCTGAGTGATCTCAGGTGTGCCAAGGGGCCAGGGTTTGCCCTTCCTTCTCCAGCTCCATTGCTCTGCCCCGTGTTGGCCATGCCATCCTGCCCCAGGGACCACCCAGCCTTTCCTCCCACCAATCCCTTCTCCCTCGCCCTCAACTCCAGTACCCCAGACCTTATCTTGCATTTCTGCAGGTGCAAAACAGGGGGAGGGGCACTGACCTCTGCTCTCTTTCTCAAGGCTACAAGCAGACGCATTCTTCAGTGCAACTCCACCATTCTGACCAGGATCCCGAATCTTGTCAATACATACTTTGTGAACATCTGCAAGGGACCTGTTTTTAAAGGCCAGTGGGGCTGGTGAGATCAATCATCAGTCCCATCATTCCCTGTCTCTGGCCACTGAACGGACTGAAGTGACAGGCAC